AAAATTGTTTACATATTATCCGTTTAGACTTTTAGAGCATATAATATAAAAATTTGTGTACTATATGGTGAATAGCTATATTATGTTATATGATACGAAAATATTTATATTTTATTTAATCAACCTAAGTATATGTTGAAAAAACTTTAGCCCATGTAAAAAAAATATTTCCCCCACTCTGCCCCCTCTGGAAAAAAATTCTAGTGCCATGCCTGCGTGGCATCAGATTTAGTTACACAACTACAAAAGTATAAAATTGAAAACATTTCCCTTATTACTCCATCTGAATTAAATAACACAGAAATTTAAAATAAGCCTTCCTTAAATAAATTTGAAACTATAACAACAGAAGAAATATTAAAAGCGATCTCCAAATTAAAAAATGGGTCATCTCCTGGAATTGATAAAATTATAACTGATTTATTAAAAAAACATTATACCATATTTTGTATACCCTTAGGTCACATTTTTAACCTAAGTATTTCTTAAAACCTAATACCATGTTATGTCCCGTCGGTTAGTTCCAACAGAAGACAAATATGTTCGTAAATAGAAATGTTTAACACAAAAAAATACAGCAACTGACGAACTATTTATATATATTAAGTTATAATAATGACACAGTATTGAGTTTAATTATTAATATAAATATGGTCGACTGACGTATGTTGCTTATGCTCGACTATCCTCGACTGCCGGAACTACATCGGCAGACCGATGGCGATGGCTGTCGATGAAAATGCGACTCAGCATTTATGTACTTACTAACTAATAAGCAATACTTTATAACAAGAAGGGGTTCTTAACAACCAGATAACTTTAAAGAAGCCATAATCACACCAATACACAAAAAAGGTCCAACTACATCATATAGTAACTTCCGGCCAATCTCAGTAATTTCAAATATAGCAATAATATTCGAAAAAATAATAAAAAAGAGGTTACTAGACTTTTTAGAATCAAATAATCTATTCTTTAAGTACCAAATTGGTTTCAGATCAGGTAAGGGCACTGACCAAGCTATAGCCAATATAACTAAAACTATATATACTGCCTTAGAAGAAGGGAAAAAATGCGCTACTATTTATCTCGACTTAACAGTAGATCATAACATACTTTTAAATAAAATGAATAGTATCGGAATATCTGGTTCCGATATTTCTTTTTTTACAGCCTATCTTAATAATAGAAAACAAATGATAAAAATTAATGATTCCATCAGTAATGAGTTATCAATAAAATGTGGAATCCCGCAAGGTACAACGTTATCTCCTATTTTATTTAATATCCAACTAAATTATATAAAAACACTTAATTTAAAAATTCAAGTTATATGCTATGCTGTTGATACTGCACTAATTTGCATAGCTAATACATGGAACGAAGTTTTTAATAATATTGAGACAGATCTCAAAACCATTGATAACTGGCTAAGTGTTAATAACTTATTTTTAAATTTTGAAAAATCAGCTATTATACTACATTCTCTCACCGAGCCCACTTTACCGATCTTAAATTCGATTAAAATCCACTATAATACATGTATGATTCAAAACCTATGTCATTAAAAATCAATCAATAAAATAAAAAATTTCAAATATCTAGGTATTGAAATGTGCTCTGATATGAAGTGGATAAATAAAATTACATCTGTCTGCAATAAGTTGAAAAAATTGATTCATATAATAAAACAACTTCATGATATTTTACCACCTAAAGACATTAGAATATTTTACTTTGTTCTGGTTGAATCGAAAATCACATATGGTTTAATAGGTTGAGGTGGAGCCTATAATAATGTTCTCTCTCTACTTCAAACCTGTCAAAACACAATTATCAAAGTTGCAATTAAAAAAGACCGTAGATATCCAACCAAAAAAATATTTAAGGAGTTTAATGTATTGAATACTAAAAACCTGTACTTTAAAATAAGCATTTTGTATATAATAAAACACAATATACTGTCGCATTTGAACCATGATGTCAATACTTGGTACGCACTAAATAAATACTTCCAATTTTGTCCAAAAAAAATCGGCTGTTGAAAGGTTTTTGATTTTATAGAGATTCAGATTTTCAATTCAATGCCAACTTATTTAGCAAACATATCATTGCCATTCAGAATCTTATTGTTACCTATTGTTTCCATGTTTATATTTATATTATTAATTATACATCATTATAAATTATTTTTTCCCAATCTACCTATTACTTATTTTATCTGTTTTTGTTTTTGTTTTTACTTTTATTGTATACAATTAGGATATTAATTTCAAATACATATATTAAATGTCTGTTAATTATAATTTGTATGTAAATGTGTAATGTATAATAGATAACCCTGGGCCTCCACACGAGTACGTCTCAGTGAGGCTCAGTTATCTCATACTCTCAATTACTTTATTTTAATTTAAATTCTGGTATAATATATCTATATTGGCCTGCTGAAATTTTTTTTGACCTGCCTACTTTTTAGCATACCTTTCAAAAAGTTGAAATGATACCCCTGCTCTGGGTGCTAAATGCTGAGTCCCTTAAAGGGGCGCCGTCGCTAGGGGTTAAATTGTTTTCAAAGTGAAATTATAATAGAATAAAATAATTTTTATTTTTTGGTTTTATTAAAAATGAATAATTATATTATTGATAACGAATAAGTGATAACCTGTATAATAAATTATTATCATAGAATTATTATTATACAGCGCTCGGCTATAATAGACAGGGGCGGAACTAGGGGGTGGAAAACGCGGATTCATCCCCGGGCGTAAAATTTTATAGGGTGTAATTTTTGTAATTATTGACAGCTAATTTGTATTTTTACTTTGTTAAATACTGTTATTAGGTTAAAACTCAATAAATGTGATAGTATATTAATTATTAGAAAAAATTCTCGATAAGAGTATTTGATTATTGGTCTATAATAGGGTGTAATTTTAACATTTTCCTTTGGCGTAAAAATCCTTATAAAAAAAAGAATATTTATTATTTATATTTATTTATTTTTTATAGTTGATAGTATATAAGTTAGATGTTAGATCTTTAATCGTGATTGTAATACTGAGTAATATTATTCTGCGAACAGATTCGTATTTTCTAGTCTATGTGTATAAGCTGTTTACTTGTATGTGTGTTAATCACGATTTATGATAATTATTATTTATTAGTAATTGCGATATCACAGTTATTTGTAAACCACTTTTCGTTAGGTACCTACTGGCTGTTGATGAGTATAATGTATTATATTATATTCATTGAGTAATTTACATACAGTAGAAGCCGCTTATTAGAAACACGGATGATTGATACAATCGCGTTATTGAAACAAAATATACCGGGACGGCCCGGCCGTATATTAGAACATTTAAAATAAATCGGATTATTGAAACAGTACATCAGTTATTTGAAATAATTAGGCGAAGGTCAGTTGACATATACACCGGTTATCCGTGCAATAACCAATATAATTTAATCTTATCTTTGCTGTCGTTACGTTTATATTTGGACGGTACTTTATCTTACGTCCTATACGATGAGCATTTTTCTGTACGTATCGTTAGGCTAGGTTCACATGGACGCGCGTACACGCGCGTTAGCACGCCACAGAACGCGCGTATAACCGTTCAGATGGCTGCGTGTCACGCAGAATGTTGTACGGGAATGTTCTAGTCAAAAACTATACTACTTAGTATAGTTCAAATTTTTATGAAGAATGAATGTGATAGATGCTGTGTGCTTATTGCCCGTCCATCGAAGGATGATAAGATGCAGACAAATGACGGAAAGGAAATATTGGGTTCATCCTATTTTGAAAACAAGGCTTTCTTTAAGTCTTAGATTATTATTGCATTATATTTAGTGCTTCATCATATCCTAAGCTAATAGAGCACCATGACAAATTTTTCAATTACTTTGAAATGTCCATTAAATCATTTAACGACCTATTGGAGATAATTAAAGACTCTTTAGAAACTGATAACAATGTCCCAGATGGCAGGCCTTTTTTTTATTTCATTAATTAACATATCTATTTCGATTTCCGTATTTAAAATAACACTTGTTTTCAAAAACTATAGATGAAAATTCGATCGTTCGCATCGAAATGCGCGTGTCAACTGAACGGTCCGATAATATTACATGGAATTTCAATCCGCGGAGTCACGCGCGTGTTCACGCGGAAATAGATTCTTGCGTCGTTATCGCGATAGACGCGCGTATACGTGCACGCGCGCCAAGTGAACGATGTATGAGAAACTCGTATATCTAAACACGCGCGGCCGACTAACGCGCGTGTACGCGCGTCCATGTGAACCTAGCCTTAGTTCAACGTCAACGTGTGTACGTAACGGTGATTAGTGTTTCGTAAATCTAAATCTAAAAATGTCCAAACGCCAAGATTTAAGTGCTAAACAGAAGTGCGATTTATTAAAATCATACGACGGGATTCCAAAAATTAGTTTACGTGATGCCGCAGCTCGTTTAAACGTTTCTAATTGCACATTAAATAGAATTTTAAAAAATCGTTCGAATATTGAACGCGCAATAATGGACAATGAAAGTGATAGTCGGAAAAGAAAAAGATCTGGAAAAGAAGAAGTTGTAGACAAAGCGTTAAAGGAATGGTTCTTACAAGTAAGGAAAAAAGATGCCCGTATTAATGGTCCACTTTTACGCCAAAAAGCAGAAGACTTGGCAAAGAAAATGGAGAAAGACGATTTTGTTGCGACGGAAGGATGGTTTCAACGTTGGAAGAAAAGGGAAACATCAGCTTCATTAAAACACATGGAGAGCAAGGGGAAGCCGATTTTAGTGCGAAACAATCGTGGTTTAATACTCATTGGACCGATTTGCTATCCCAGTACTCCCCCTCTGATATTTTCAATGCCGACGAGACTGGGCTTTATTTTAGAGCTCTACCTGAACACACATACGCACTCAAAATTTACAAAGCTAAAGGGGCAAAAACGAGCAAAGAGCGACTCACAATTATGTGTTGTGTCAGCATGAACGGGGAAAAACAAAAATTGATGGTAATAGGTAAGAGTCAGAACCCACGGTGTTTTAAGGGAGTGAAAACATTACCAGTAGATTACAAGGCAAACAAAAACGCTTGGATGACTGCAGCAATTTTCAAAAATTGGCTGATCAATTGGGATAAAGTGCTCAATCGGAACATTTTATTACTCATTGATAATTGTCCAGCTCATATCATTGACTGCATAAACTTAAGACAAATAAAAGTTATTTTCTTACCAGCAAATACTACTTCGATCATTCAACCATGCGACCAAGGTATCATACGTACCTTCAAAGCTTATTACAGATCAGCAATAAGGGGAAAAGTTCTAGCAGTGATTGATAATGGTCTACACGATGCATCTTGTTCCTTACAAGCTAACGATATAGCAAAAAAAAATAACCATTCTTGATGCTATTCATCTAGCAAAAGAAGCATGAAATAAAATAAGTGTGGAGACAATTCGAAATTGTTTTTGTCACGGTGGATTCAAAACAGATGACAAAACAGACGACGAACACGAACATAGTTTGCCTGAAAAACCAGTCGATCTCTCGGATGAAGTTTATGGCGATTGGGTTGATGTGGACTCACACCTCGATGTGGCCTCTGCCACATCAATTTCAAAAATTTCAAAAAAATTTCAAATTTCAAAAATTTCATCATTCAAGCAGAAGAAGAGATTTGTAATGCGGTAATGAATCCTCAAACAATTGAACGGGCCAATACTGACGATGAAGAAGAAAACAGCGAGGCACCCTTGGCACCGCCATCAAACAAGGAAATTGTAGAAGCTTTAAGTATCCTTAGGAGAGCTGTTCAGCACCGTGCGGATGAAATAGGTTTTGAGCAGCATTATTCATATGAAAATATGGTTATGGAGTTACTTGACGCAAAAAAACAAACTTCGATCAATAAATATTTTAAATAATATAGTAAGATAAATATTTTAAATATGTAATATAGTAATTAGTAAGATAAATATTTTTAATATGTAATAAAGTAATTAGTAAGATAAACATTTTAAATACGAAAATCGTAATATATACATACATACATACATAAATAAATTTTCCGCGTATTTTTCATTTTTTTTTCATAGTATAAATCTAACAAATCGCTTATTAGAAACAATCGGATAATTGACACATTTCACTTTGGTCCCAAAGTGTTCCTAATAAGCGGCTTCTACTGTATTTTTTATTTTAAAATATCTTTACATTTTTTTCTTCAATTAATCGTTGGAATGTATTAAATTAACGCCTTTCAAAATCCGTTAGTTTAACCTTTAAGAGAGTGATAAGACGCTTGGTAGTCTGCACGCCATGATGCTTGTCTAAGTCTGTCTCAAAATTGGAATGAAATTATAAAAGCTTTAAATATTATTGTAAATAATTCAACAGAAAAATTAACAACCAAATGTAAAGCCAAAGGTTTGTTTAAAAATCTTAAAAGCTTAGAAATGTATATAATATGGTATACTAACAATATTTTGGAATGATATATTGGAAAAGTTCAACTGTATTAATAAAAATCCGCAGAGTGTTCACATTGATTTAACAACAGTTGTGACTTTGTATAATTCATTAATATATTATATTCAAGACTTACGAAGTAGTTTTACATATTATGAAAAATTGGGTAAAGAAAAATCTGATGTAGATAATTGAACGAAAAAGAAAAAGGAAAATGCCTTATGGAGAATCAAATCAAAATAATTCAACGTTTCAACAAAGCAATTCATTTAGAATAAATACTTTTACAGTTATATTAGATTCATTACTTACAGAACTAAACAAAAGAAAGAGATCTTATGATACAGTTAATATAATATTTGGTTTTTTATTCAATCTTACTAAACTGCCAATATCCAAGGTAAAAAACAAACCATGCAATTGCAAGTAAAATATCCAAAGGACCTAGGTTCATCATTCTCTAATGAATGTATTAATTTTTGTAGTCATTTATCTGGATTAAAAGATAATAATTTGACGATTGCTGTTTTAGACTTGTACAAAATATTTAAAGATCCTAATATTTCTAGTTTTATCCATATATTGAAATAGCATTACGTATGTATGGTATTTATGCAGTCCGGTATCAAATTGTTCAGCGGAACGATCCTTTAGTGCATTAAATATAATTAAATCCTACTTAAGATCAACTATTGATAATGACAGACTAAATTCTTTGGTTGTACAGAGTATTGAATCAGAAATTACCAGTTCCTGATACCAAATATAAAAAGTAATTGAAGAATTTTCTCAACAAAAAGCTTGTCGTAAAAATTTATAATCGTAATTTAAAATCTTGTTTATTTTTATTTTCTTATTATAGCCTTTTCATATTACATTCAGTGTTGGGAATAGATAATGCAAAATTTATCTAGATAAAGATGAAAGATAATATGTCCAAATTCATCAAAATAAAGATAGTAGATAAAAAAAATTAAAATATCTAGATAAAGATAAAAGACAATTTCATTTTTATCTAGATAAAAAAAAAGATATTTTCAAAAAATGTTATTTGTTGGTCAATATTTCATATTTGTAATAATATCTATGAAGATACAATTATAATCATTAGTATCAATAGGTACCTAAGCAGTGGCGTAGCCAAGAAGGGGGCTAAGGGGACTATAGTCCTGAATTGGGCTTTTTGTCGGATCAATACTTGGTGAAAAATCAAATAAAACACAAGCGTAACTTTCAAAACACAGACAGATGTTAAAAAAGAACTACAAAAAATTCGATTATAATTGGATCCGGCATAAGATTAAAAAAAAAAAAACCCACAATTATTAAGGATTTACCTGATTTAAATATTACCAAACATTTTACTTGTAAAGGTTAAGCCTCAATTAAAGAAAAAATTTGAGTACTATACTTCCCCCTAGAAGTAAGTCTAGTATATTAGTGTATAGTAGTGAGGGGGTAGGGCGTGAACTCATAAAATAGTTTTAAGGGGGGCGCGGACTTTAAAAGGTTGAGAACCCATTGTCTAAACATAAGCGGATATTTAGTCACATCCTTGGAAGGGGGCTTAAAATTGTTGTCTTATCCATTAGCGTAATAAGAAATTTATAGACGCTTCAACCTACCAACTAGTGACTACTCCTATTTTATTCTAGTTGAGGCACCAAATATATACAGTTAATAGAAACATTAAAATATTGAATAGTTGCCTACTAATTCTTTTATTTTTATTTTAATTGTATAAATCTATTCTTTTATTTCCTTTATTACCTACAAAATATAGTTTTCCCCAAAAACGATAGTCCGTAAATATTCCAGACTATTCTCGCATATCAACAAAATGTACAATAATAATAAGGTAATAAAAGGCTTAAGCCCCCCCCCCCCAAGTCTCCCCAAATATTCGCTTATAGGTCTAAAGAAAGGTGTGCGTCAAAATTTTTTTGATTATATTCATTTTTTAGGGAGTTTTTGTTCGTAAATATAATACATACAATGAAATTACACTTAATGAAATAATGTAAAGGTTCAAAATACGGATCAAGTATGTAAAACGTAAGGAATAATAAACCAGATGAGCATATGTCACACTTCATTTACCAGCCTGAGCATTCTATCCTAACCTAAAATATGTAATATGTAACCAAACTTCCGAAAATATAGTTCATTAGAGGGAAATCATACATAATCAAAGACTACCATAAAGTCTTAACTATGATTAATTCATAAATATCAGAGAACTAAATAAATTCAATAAAAAAATACCCTCTTAATGATAAAACTTATATATAAAAAAAATGTATTTCAATTGTACTAGTAGGTTTGAAGTTAAATTTTCTGTCTTGCTGTTCAGCATTTTGAGTTTGTAAGATTTTATTTAACATTCGTAAAAATGTACATAATATATATAAAAATTCTTAGAACACAATTGGTGATGAAGCCAAATGTTATTTACTGTAGTGTATAAAAAAATGCACAAGTGCTTAGGTTTTTCCATATTTTATATGTATACTCAAGTGTTTTCTAAATGAGAAATTTAATAAATAACCTAAAATCGTGTAAAATCTACCAATTACAGAAAGTATATCCTTAAGTAAGTACTCAGTTCATTCTTCATAAACTTGTAAAATCTATAACACCATAAAATGTATTTAATTAAGCTTTTAGTTTTTCAAGGAATACAGTTACTCCTACAGTTATCATCGGTAACTTCGAGTACAGCAGATGATGCAGATATAAATACTATAATATTTACTAATTTTTCTAATACAGTGAAAACATATTACGATAATAATCATGTCAAAGACAGATTTGAAGAAGAAGAAGAAGATATAGAATTATCACCTGGTTGTTCGAATTACATACAAAAAGAACTTTTACAACAATTTATTCATAATTTATCTAATATCTTAATACAATTGTTTAGTTATTATTTTGTTCATTTTCCGAAAATTGATGAAATTTTAAAAAACAGAAAACTTGAAACAACAGTTATTGAATTTATACAATCAGAATATGTAGAGTCAATATGTTCTTATATTCCACGATGTTTAGATTTCATCTACATTTGTGACAATAATTTTGAAGGAATCAGTTATATACTCCAAATGAATGAGATGTTTTGTTATTCACGAAAAGTATACCTTACACAATATGAAATTAAAGGTGAAACCGAAAATAGATTATTTTCTTCTACAGATATTAAATATAGCCGTATAAAATCGTTATACGAAAACATTTTTAGTCTTGACAAATCAGCAGTCGTACCACTTCACGCTAATACTACAAGAATAGACGAGGCGTATGTAAAAGAAGTATTCGAATTTATTAATAAAATTAATAAAACAAATATAATAGGAAATAGTCAAAAGGATGATAGTTCTACAATTGTTAGTGGAGTAATAACTTTAAACGAATTTTCATACCCATTTAAAGAACTTGTGAACTTCCAACCCTTAAATCCAGATACTAAATCTACTGGACTCGCTGATAAAGTAAAAAGTATCGTAGATAAGAAACTAACAAAATATAGTATAGAAAACGGAGATAATCATTTGAATAACTTAAGTAAATTATTAATTAAAATTTTCCAACATATTGCACATATCTTTCGAAAATCTGTTTTAACTAAAATTGGCGATGATAGTCAAATCGATGTCGACCAAAATACGATTCGTACTTTATTACCGATAACTTTACTCGATGATACTGATGAACATATTCTTTTAATTCTATATTATTTGATTGATAATGAATGCTACTCAGATGCAATCAGTCTTTATTTAACAATCTTCAGTGATTGGATTAATTTTTTAAATGTCCGATGTCTATATGAAAAAAACAACAATATGTACAATAATCAATGTGTAAAACAGTCGATAAATGAAAAACTATTGCTAAATTTGTATAAGATAGATTCAGTTGATTATACAACTTTCATTAAATATGATGGGACAGACAATTATGATGATTATAAGTCGATTATTAATGAAATCTATTCAGAATTAAATAATTATTACAAAGACAAAAATATTAATATTTGGTGGTTGTCATTTAATTGGTTATATGGAGTACACGTTTATACTGAAAATCAATATTCCGATTACTTGAACAAAATAAAAAAATATCATATGACTATTGCAAATGATACAAAGGATAGTTTTTCGTTAATGGAGAGTTACAATCAAATAATACCATGGTTTTCAAATATAGGTACAATAATAGGTTTTAAAATTCTTACTGACCGTAATTTTATTTTAATATTGGATGATTACCTTAATAATCAAGCAAAAATAATTATCAGTTACTTTAAACTCAATTATTATAATAATGCCACTGCCGAATTAATAAAAAAATTGACTCAATCTTTTGATTGGTATATGGAAGCAAGAAAAATATTCTATATAAGCATAAACTCCATAATGCAGAATAAAGGAATTAGCCAAGTTGTAGAATTAGTTAAAAAATTTGAAGTAAAAAAAAATCAGAACCTACTCGCATTGAATAATTATCTGATGAGTTTATCGTTGAAACGTGATACACATTTTGAACAAAATTTGTTAAATGCTTATTATTTATTAAGTAATGGAAAGACAAGATTTGAAACTTATATGAATAAATTCATTTTAAACAACTGTTACGATGCTATAAAATCAATAAACACGTATCTTTCGATTGCAAAAAAAACAAAAATACCACTCGAAAACGATCAGGTGAATTCTATATTGTGTAATGATCATTTAACCGATATATTTCCAGAAAACCACACCAATGATACAAGCCAATCAAAAAGTGAACACGAAAAACAGGAAAATTAATTTAGGTACCTATTTTATCACACATTTGTTATGGGTTTTTCTGTGTTAATATTTTTATTATTCATGTATGGGTATATATTTCAAATGTTTTCTTAAAAAAAGAAAAATTTAAATAATATTGTTAATTTCAGTAAAGCTAAGTATAAACTTAACATTTATAATTCTGTGTGCAGCAAATCTAAAATTATATTTATTAATATTTGTTAATGTCTTAAGATTTTTATGTTGGGTACCATGTTGAATATTCGATTAATATGCATTATTTATACTATTATTTGATATTTGTTTCTATTGTTTTACAAAAAACTAAGGAAAAATGGAATGAGCCAAAATGTATTGAACTAGTTCTTATTTATTTCCTATTATTTGAAATCCTGTAAAATCATAACCAGTTATATTATTTGTTTTATTTGTTTTTAATATATCAAATGTTAGAATTTATTTTGTAACGTTTGTGTATTTCATAGTGATATAAATCATATTAATAATTCAGGGGTCCTATTTTTTGGACAATTTTCCAGGATTTGACCTTTGACCATTGTACGTGCGAGTGCGGAAAGTAATATGCCGCTTACCTCGGCACCTAAAGTAGTAGAGTGGACTGTAATTCTTATGGAATACCGGAAATTGGAATTTACCTATATATTAATTGCCCCAGACGAGGGAGGGATCGCCTACGCTTGTCTGGAATTAAATATGGTATAAGAATAAGGAAGTGGAGAACAATTTTATATGATGACAAAGATAATAATGAAAACTTATATTAAATTATGAAATATGTATACTACAGTTGGTCGAAAACCACTAATTTTATGATTTAATAATAATAATAATAATGACAATCAAACAATAATAATAATATGTCGATGCGTTTTATAATTGATTATAATAATGTGTGAGGTACAAGGTGTGTGCAAATAATATAATAAATGTAAAAATGTGTGTGGTAACTGTGAGTAAATGTAAATATGTGCCTGTTGGTCACAAAATAAATTAGATGACTACTAACTAATAATTATAATAATAAAGACAATAATTGATACTATAAAATTCACAGTTCGAACAGAATGAGGTGTACACCTGGCCAGCTGTAATCAAGACCTATATAATAAAACAAATCACACACACAAACGACAATAACAATAATATGAAACACAATTCATTCAAAATAAATAAATAAATAAAATTAATACATTTGATTCATTTGCGCGTGAAAAAATATTGCATAAAGAATAAAACAGCGACAAAATTTTTATCTCGGTAACGTCTCCTCGATCTCGCGGCCGAACCACAACAACGACCCGTAGACACGTAAAATATTGATAAATTAATTATAATCAGGGCTCGGAAGTTATAGCACTAAAAAAATTAATTTTTAGCGCTTAAATATGCACATAAAAACATTAATATAAGCGCTATAAATAGCACTAAAAATTGGAAAATATGCAAAATAAAATTTCATTAACAAAAATTTTTTTAAATTATACAAGTTTTTATTATAAAATATGAACAGTAAATATTTGAGAAGTAGGCACTTTTCCGGCTCTGGAACATTTTCTGTTTACATAAACATATAAAAAAATGTATTAATAAATGAATAATATAATGTATTAATTTTATTTACCTTAAGAATTGCACTGAATAATAAGATGTTTTCTTATATTTTCAAATTTGAATGATCTATGATTATTTGATAGTAGAGTTTTGTATGCCGAGAATGACCGCTCTACATCGACAGACGTCACGGGTGCGTACTTAAAAAATGTTAAGTCGTTACAATTTAAGTCTTCGGGAAGACCATCTAAATTTCGGAATGTCTCTTCACCCGTTAGAACTTGTGATATTTTTACCAACGCCAAGAGACCACGATTTTTTTCCTGTACCTAATTAAATTTATTTTGAACAGATTTTCCATTTGGACCACTTAATGTTTCAAATGATTTTGAATATCTTGAACTATTTTTAGTGAATCCGATAAAGGCATATGTTGCCGTTGTAATTGTTCAATAGCCAAAGTTAATTTGGCAAAGTTCGACTTAATATACGTTAAGTTGTTTTCCAATCCAAGTTTTATGATGTTATCTTGAGCATCTTTAAGGCGCGGTGTCCACTAGTGCGATGCGATAGGTGATACGATAAGCTATGCGATAAGCAATTCGAAACTGTATCGCCTACTACGTATATTTCTTCGTAAATAAGTAAAACAATTGCACATTGGCACGATTACAAAGCGACACCGATAATTATCGGTGACGTATCGATGCGGGCGACACAGCTTGTCGGCTCAACAAGAAGACTGCAGCGCTGCTATTTCTTTTGTAAAATTAATTGAACAAAATCCATGTTTATGGAACTATTCTTTGAAAACTTATTCAAGGACTGATATAACAGGCTTGGCATGGCGTGAGATAGCGAAGAAGCTTAATGACACAGGTAAGAAAAACTCTTTACATCTTTCACCGGTTATTGATGTCATTTACCAAAAATAGTGGTAAATGATGATAAATCTCAAATAATACACTGATTTTTTTACTATAGGCACTATTTATAATAATGATTTATTGTTAAAATAAAAAAATAATAAAATACGCGCATATTACAAATTATTTATTTGTACAATTTTGGTTACTATGACATAATAACAGCAAGTAAATTACGCGGAGAACCTCGTGCTCTCTCAACATCTGGTATTGGGACACGAACAGTTGTACCGACATGTCGCGACATCAAGCTTTGAAAATTTTTTTAGGCTTTAAATTTGTTCTGCATACTTAAACACTAAAATTGAATCTAACTTTTATTATATTTTGTTCACTGGTGACACAAATTTTTACAAATAATATAAAACACACATTCGTAGCAAATACAACTCGCTATAATATACCCGTCGATACTAATAAACTAAAAGATTATCTCATATCATTACTCGGGTTATCGACGTTATTTCTAGTTGGGATTTTCGTTTATCTATCTACTTCCATCATGATATTTTTAACTAATGAAGCTGATCGTTCACACCGACATAAAAGTATTAAACATCATTCTCCAATTAAACTGGTGATTGACGACAATAACCGGTGAATGTCTGCATTTACAACGTTTACCAATTTTTAGGTAAATGATGTCATTTACCGGGGAATGACGTCTTTTATCACGTTTACATCATTCACCGTAACATATATATACCGGCTGGTCGGACGACCAGTCAATCAGTCCGTGAATACAATCCGCGACACACCGTGAACTCCTCCGCAGTGTAACGCGTTTCAATATTTTCAATATTTGTATATACATATTTTTATAATATAGTGGCTATTTTAACTAAATCAAATTGTGAGTGATTGTTGTTACCCAAATCCCACACATCAAAACTGCTTAATTATGCAAGCCTTTGGACGCCCAAACGCATTATCGAAATAGTAATTATAAATTTATAACGCTATTAATTATAGGAAAACTACGTTAAAATTTAAAAAAAAATCAAAAACAACATCTTGTACATCAAAGGGTTAAATTTAATTTTTTTAAATAAAAATACGTGAACATAATTTTTTAAATATTATTTATGGCAAACCTATGTATTTCCATTGAATAGGAATTGCTCCTTCTGGCTGTAGAAAATAGTTACCAAGTCTATTGGTCTATATATATCTATGTAGGCGAACAGCTGGGGTCTGAGTTGTTGACGGTTGTAGTACACTACCATCTGGAATTTCTGGTAAAACTTGTGTAACATTAAAATTTGAAGGTTGATATTTTTTACCCTCTCGAAGGCGAATAAAATTATGAAGAACACACGCTGCTTTCACTACTGCGATAACGCACGTTTCATCACAAGCCATCGGTACCTCAAACACACGAAACTTGGAGGTTAACATTCCAAAAGCGCACTCCACACTTTTTCTTCCTCTTGAGAGACGAAAGTTGAAAATATTTTTAACGTCATTTAAAACTTTCTTTGGAAAAGGCCGTAGTAGGGTCGGTAGTAAAGGGAAAGCTTCATCAGCAACACAATAGTATGGGAATGCCTCTTGATTTCTACTTCCAGGTAAACAATTGGGGCTAGGAACATTGAGTCCACCTCGTTTCAGTCTCTTTCCAATTGATGAATTACGGAAAACTGATCCGTCACTATTCCGTCCTATGTCACCAACATCAACTAAAGTAAAAATACCGTCTGCATCTGCCATAGCCATGAGTACTACCGAAAAAAAACCTTTGTAGTTTATGTTTCTTGATCCTGTGTCCTTAAAGCACTTAATTCGAATGTGTTTGCCGTCAATTGACCCGATGCAATTCGGCAGATTCCAAAGCTCAAAGTAGCGCTTAGCTTTTTCTCACCACATTTCTTCATTTGACATTGGCATGTATATTGGTTGCAAAACTGTCCAAATAGCATTACACGTTGAACGCACAATTTTACCAATTGTACTTTTACCTCTGTAAAATTGCTGTGCCAGATCGACAAAGCTACTCCCAGTAGCCAAATATCTGAAACAATGTATAATTTGTTTTTTTTTTAACTTTTTAATTTCTAATCTTTATAAAATTAGTATATTTATGAAATTTTATGGAATTTTGATTTTATTAATATATTTGATTAAGTTATTTAAAATTAACTTTTAAAAAATTTTTTTTAATTTTTAGAACAAAACTGTCGCGATCGATGGAAAAATATCCGTACTGCTTTTGGAAGGTCAAGGAGACCACCTAAATCTGGATTAGGAGGACGATCGAAGAAACCTTATTATTTGGCAACTTATCTTGGATTTCTTTGTCCATACATGAAGGGAGCCTCAACGTCTGGTAACGTTCCTCTAGAACAAGAAAGTGATAATGACACACATCCTACAGACACCCAAGCCACAGATAACCAAGCAGTGGACATGCAGGCCATGGGCACCCAAGATGAGGAAGACAATCCACAGGATATTCCAGGTGTTACACCAGATAATGTATAATGATCCTTTTCTTGATTCGGAAACTGAGATTTATCATAATCCCACCCCTCGTAAGAAAAAAAAAATAATTCCAATACAAAGTGATTCAGATAAATCATTTATCGAATAGCTTGAGTTGAAAAAAAGGAAAGAAATTAAAACTATTCAGGAGGATCAACAAGATGGCGACTGGCTTTTTTTTCGTTCCTTGCTTCAAGATTTTAAGAAGCTTAACGACAAGCGTAAAAGAAGTCTCAAACTTAAATTTTCAACTATTCTAAATGAAGAATTGGACCGAGCCGAATCTGGGGCAGAAGACTCAAGTTTTACCTCTTATTCATGGGGTTCATCTACTATCCCATTTCAACCGTCTTCGTCGTCAGTGGATCAAAGTGATACAACATCGACAGATTTATTTTTTTTAAACTAATTTTATAATTGTAAATGGTATTTAAATAATAACCGATAATAAATAAATTAAAGTTGTAAAAAAAAAAAAAAATAAAGTTACTCATATTTCTCTCTTGCTATATGTTGTTGTAAAATATGACTTACCTTAAGGTAATAAGTAGTTTTTCAGCTGGTGGTATTGCAAATCTAAAATTAGTATTTTTTTTTTGACACTAGTCTCAATAATACCCGGTAACTTTCTAAGGTCATTCTGTAAAACTCTTTAAACTTTTTTTCGTGTTGAGAGAGTTCGCGGGATACCACTGCCGAACTGTGTATAATATTATTAAGGTTATATGGATGTATCCAATATTTTCTTTTTTTTAATTTCCGCTGACGTAAGTATCGGTAGGTAAGAATGACATCCTCCTCTGAAGAGCTCATGATCACGACTGAAAATGTGTATATCATATCGCTTGTATGTTTTCTCCAGTAGGCACCCGAGTGTTGTGCCGATAAAAATCGTATCGCGTGATTTTTGTTGTATCGCCTGTCGCATCGCACTAGTGGACACCGCGCCGTAGGCACCCGAGTGTTGTGCCGATAAAAATCGTATCGCGTGATTTTTGTTGTATCACCTGTCGCATCGCACTAGTGGACACCGCGCCTAATACTAACTGCATCGTTTCTGTCTAGCATAAAAATAACACGGTGGATTATCCCGAAATTCTCGCAATAATAAATTGCTGCGTTAATCCAACTTCCCCAACGTGTGATTATTGGCTCCAGAGGTAAGGGTAAGTTTGGCGTTTCCGATTTAAATACAAGTAAACGACTTGGGGCTTTTCTAAAGATTTTTTTACACTTGAAATAACTTTATCTACTATGTGAAATTGATTTCTAACTTCTTCTGCGACTCTGTGCAATCCACGCACAACACATGTTACATGAATCATTTTTGAGTAAAGGCTTTTAAGTACTTCTCCTAATTTAACCATGTAAGGTGCGGCATCGGATAAAAATAAAAATACATTGTCATGTTGGATAGCAGCCGGCCATAATATGCTCATTGATCTATCAAAAAGTTTGCTGATTGTGCAGTGGTTAGCTTTTTTTAGTTCCTCCGAATTAAATAAAAACATATTGCCTGCATTATTTCCCTCAAGAGTGCCTACTATTACATTTGAAATGTAACGACCCTGTACATCAGTGGTCTCGTCGATACTGATCCAAATTTTTTTGTCAGAAATTATTTTCCTAATTTTATCCATGGTCTCATTGTAAATATCATCCACATATCCTTTTCGCAACGTGGATTTACTCGGAATATCATTTTTTGTATATACTTCTAAAAATGTTTTGAATTTTGGGTTTTCTAACTTGTTCAAAGGAATGTTAGCAGAAATAAAAGCCTCAAGGTACGGTTTCCCTTGCGCGATCGCGAACGCGAACTACGAATTAAGATCGCGATTGCGTCATGTCGGTTTGCTCTAGACGATTCTACGTTGCGATCGAAAGATTTATAATTTATATTTATATTTCGTCCGTTAGTCGTATTCGATATTTTGAAGTGTTCACTAGTGTTCAGTAAGTTCACGGCGCACGAGTACTGTTCGTTTTTAAAAATTATTATAATGGATCCAGTCGATAAAGAAATCTTAAAAATTCTTTTGCTAGAAGAAGAAGATGATGAGATCTTGCACTGGTATTTGTCGGAAGAAAAAAGAAAGCAACACGATCCATTATTTAAAAAGAGGAGTACCGAAGGTTATCATGAAATACTCATCAACGGCCATCTAAAAAATAATGAAATTAAGTTCAGGGAATTTTTTAGATTAAACCGCAATCAGTTCGATTTTATTTTGAATCTAATAAGAGACAATTTAACATTAAATCCGACATTTTTTATAAGGAAACCCATATCACCAGAAGAAAAATTGGCGGTTACATTGAGGTAAGTACAATTTTTCAATTAAGTACAGATAAAGTACAATGAAATAAGAACTCAGATTTATAAATTTATTTGTGGAATACTGTTGTTTTATTTTAATATACAATTTGTATCAAAGTTAAAAATAAATCAGTTTTCTATTGATACAAATAATAGTAATAGTTAAAAAAAAAAAAATATTAAAAAAAAAATAGTAGTTAAAAATAATAGTTACCTTATCATATATTTCATTGACTTATGAACAATTAATTTAAAAAAATCAAAATACCTTATAAGATAATATTTTAAAATATATTGTTAAATTTATTGAGAATTGGTGTTCCATGTAAATGTAGTTGGATTTGGTGGTCCAAACTGTTGTTGAAAATTTGAATATGATGGTGAATCTAGTGAAGGTGGACTATATGGAATAAAGTTGTTAGAATATGGGGAACTACTAGTAGAAGTATTTGACTCTGATGATACTCTGCTAATGCTAGGTATGATGTGGACGTTATGCGTATGATAATCTGCAGCTTGAAGTTCCAAGTCAGTCACAATTGTCAACATTTTCAATTTCGCCTGTGAAATCAAGTGTGGTGGCAACTTTTTGACAGATAGAGCTAAACTTTTGAAAAAATGATCAACATCATCGTACTCATCCGTATTTTTTTTTTTAGTGATCAGTTGTGTCATCAGCTCTGTTCTTTCTTTTGATCGTTTTTCTAATAATTCAGTGACTTTTAAATTTTTTCTTTTATGAGTCGATTTTTGTGATTTTGAAGTCGATGGAGATTGAGGACATTGCGTTACTGGTGATGACTGCAGTATATCATCTTGTGTGATATTTATTTCCTCTTCGTCTGAGCCAGAATCTTCATTATTATCAGTATCATATATATTTGAAGTAGTGCTGTTAAAATGAATAATAAATATTAATAATTTGCTATTATAGTCATCACTAGGGTAAGGATGTTGTAGCATTTGCATCTTTCCTTCTACTGTTCCAATTTATTGCTAAGTAAGTTTTAAATGTGTTCCATTTAAGTACGAATTAAAATCTAAAACTCTTAAGTGCAATTTTCGGATTTTTTTCAATTTAGTTGAACTTAGTCATTTACACAAAAGTTTTAACTATTTTTCAAATTTTCGATTCTGAGTGTATGAATGTATTGATTTCACAATGGTGTGTTTTTTTATTTATGTATTTTTATAAGCATTTAAAGTTTGAATTTTAACAAAAATACGTAAATATCATGAAAATGTGCAAATAATTTTTAGTCAGAAATTCATAAAAAATTTTAGTGCAATATTGTAATCAATTTTACTATTGTTTTACTACTACAATGTCCGTACGCTAGTCATATCTTTACTGGGTGATTGATTTTACGAGCAACACAGTGGCCAATCACTTTATCATGATACCATTTCTTGCATTTAACCATAAATTACCAATAACTTATGGTCTTTACTGACTATGACGCAAAACATTAAAACCCCACAAAACTTTGAGGAACTGTATCTCGATGACGGATAAACGAAAAATTTAAATTTGAATATTATAATTCATAAAAAAAGCTATACTCGTATCTATATATTTATGGAATTTATAATACATGTTTCCATTTTAAAATCAAAAGTTATAGTGGTTAACTAATAAATATAAATGCAAAAAAAAATTAAAACTAATTGAAGTTAATACAAAATTAAAAAAAAACAAATTTTGAAAAAGTCAGTAGTTTGCGAAATAATTAGTGTTGCACTTGAAATCAATCACTCTATCATATGTAATAAGGTACTTACTTTCTTTCTTGTGGTACTGCATCCAAAAAAGTTAAAAATGGTGCTAAATGCCATTTTGAGGGTTTTGAAGAGGCACTTGCTCCAGTATTCATTTTTCTTGCCCGTTTATTTTTTAAATGGGCATCTTTAATGTTTTTGTACCTTCTCTTGCAGTCTTCATCTAATACAAATCAATATTCATAACCGATTTCAAACAAGAGTTAAAATACTGTTTAATAATAAAAAAAATAATTTATAAAAAAAATGATCAGTCAGTTCGCGTTCGCGCCGCGATCGAATTAGATCGCCGACCGCGATCGCGCAGGGGAAACCAACGCTATCTATTTTACATTGGATCAGCAGCCGCGCGATCGGGGCGCGCGATCTTGGATCGCGATCGCGCAAAGGAAACCGTACCTTCACACAAATCTTTGTTAAATGACAATTTTTTACTAATATTACTTGTCGCTATCAATAACTGCGGTTGTTTCCGATTTACTTGATATTCATATTGGGCAAGGCCTTTGATATGTTTGTCACTTTTTATATGTTGTGATACGTTAAACTTTTTGTCAGAACTAACTTTGACTTCACAAATTTTACAAAATAATACACTTTTATCAATTAAAAAAATTTTAGGACCATATAAATTAACATAGGTTTGGAGCCGATTTGACAAATTTTGTTTAATTTTAGGCATTTTTAAACACGATAAATACGATAGTTCACGATCAAACGCACACGCAACACGCAAATAACGGCAGAACGCAGACAACTAAAATAAAATCATAGGTCTTTATGTACGGCGATAACGCCGTATCTTACGGAAATACGACGAATTCGATAACTGCAGTTCATATTTTGAAACAATTTTAAAAACAACTAAATTATTGGAAATGAACGGAATTGTCCGATTTAATCGACGATAACAACGGTCTAAGGTCGTTTATTCCGGATGCGTACCATCTTAAAATAAAACAATTTGTTTTCGTTCACATATTCGTAGGCGGCTGTTTGGTAGCTAATTTAGTTTTTCAACAATATGTGTTTATTTTTTTAAATATGCCCATTAACAGCATTTATAACTCCAAATTAGCAAAATACCTCCTATAATATGTATTTATGTGAAAATATACCCAAAAATAGCACTAAAAACCTAAAATTAACAAAATAGCAGTAAAAACCGTAAACATGCAAAAAAAATAGCAAAATAAAATTTCGTGTATGACATCAGAGAAGTGTGAAACATATTTGTATCTTACTTTGGATGTTCTAGGATGAACCAATAAAAATATGCATTTGCTAGAACTTTCGAGCCATCACTGATGGGTTTCCGTAATTGACATTAATTAAATACGAAATAATGACTGGTTTACCCCGTAATTGTCTATCGATGGAGGAACACGAGCAAGACATTGTTTTTGTTATCTTATTCACGTTTTCAGATATTGTACCAATATATTGTACATCGATAAGAAAAATTAAATAGTTTACGGTTGAAATTTAAAATGTATAAAATAAATAAAATCATTTCTATTTCAACCGACAATCTTGATTCATTTAATAATTTGAATTACTCTTGCATAAATTTAATGTTGGGTATTTTTTGAAAAAAAAAAACAAAAAATGCAAATCAGTCCATGGACCCCCTAGGTAACCATGTACGGAGCCCCTAGGGATCCATGGACCACCGGTTAAGAACCCCTGTACTATAGTGAATGTAGGATTTTATTTCCAAAGGTTAGTAGCGGCACGTGTCTAGGTGTACAGGTGTAATAACGACTCGTTTCAAAAGAATATATCCGGTTCTCAATTTGCTAAATTTTACAGTAGTAGACTATATATTAGATTCATATATAAAAAATAATGCTGATTTTCTACCAGAAATATGGTTAGAATATTTATCATCGACATTACGCACGATTAACAATAGCAAATCTTTCCATGGAAATTAAATAGTTCGTTTAATTCTTCTCGCCCTAACATTTTTAATTCTATAGATATTTTAAAAAATACACAAATTGATACTTATATAGCGTTACGAAATCAGTGCTCAAGGAATAGAATAACAATTGAAAAAAAATGGAAGAATTAGAAACTAAAAAAATTACTAAAATTGAATTTGTATAGCAATTTTCATTCAAATTTTTACCTACATTTCGACATTCTGTAAATGGTGTCGTGTTTTTGCAATCTTTCATCGGTTTTCCGCAATTATTGGAAAAACGATTGAGAAATATAAAATGAATTAATGTAACATTTGCTATCGAAAACTACCCCTGATGTTGTTGATAGGATCAATTTTACTAAGAAAAATCGTGTCCACATTCATAAAAAATAAAAATATGTGTATGTAAAAAAAGTAAATATTTATAATTGTATAGAGTCCATGGGGAGTTAAACTCCCATCCTTGATCACGCCCATGAATATAAATATATACATAAAAGGGTAATATATAAATAAATATAATATACTAAATGTCAATACGTATAATTCGAGCATAAAGCGATTTTCTAAGTAGCACAGAAATAAAATAAAATAATTTGTACAAAAAAGAAAAAAATGAAGACGACAAAAAAACGTATGATAATATATTTTATTTTATAAATGGACATTTACATTATAATTACTAAATTACACACAATTCGCTTTGAACATCACGAGCCGCCACTGTTATAGGTACGAGTAGAATGGTGTGCCCTATTTACTTTAATTATTGGTTTTATAAAATCAAATCAATACTTAAATCATATTTAAGAATAAGTTATTATGAAATATGTACCTATTTAAAATTAACTAAGCCGGGAAGTGTACAACACAATTTAATACATTTTTGAACAGCATGGAATAAAACTTACAAAATGTATTTCGGATGCAGAAAAATTCAAAGTGTCTGCCTCCACACAGTGGACTTGAAATTCTGTACCAAAACACCTAAAAAATTTACGCATACTAAAACTGAACAGTAAACATACATAAGTGTCGCTGTTTTGTTGTACGTACACTCAGTGCATTTTTTAACTAGTTAACTAGGTGACATAAATGTCGCCTAATTTTTGGTGTTAATGAGATTTGAGTGGACGGTGGTGAGGAGAGAGATAAGAGGGTTTATTATAGATTTGAACTCGTCAATGAATTTTAGAAGTGAGGTTTCATTGGTGTTTGTGGATGTATTAGAGTTTGCGGACTGGTGACCCTCAGTTACATTTGCATACGTACGTGACCTGGTCGTGTTTTCGGAGCCTGGTTGTTGCTGTTGATATTCAGGATTGATGTTGATGTTGAGATTAGAAGGCGGTGGCTGCTGGGCTTTCTTGCTTGAGGTGTTGTTGTTGTGTTTCCAGGAAATTGTTTGATATATTGTGCATCCCTTATAGTTGGCTGGATGCACGCCTTGACAGAGGCCGCATTTTGCTGGTAGATCTGGTGATTTTGTGCACGATGATGAAAGGTGTTTTTCTCCACATTTGACACATATGGGTGGGTAAGCGCAGTATGAGCGAGTGTGTCCATAGCTTTGACAGTTTTGGCATTGTGATATCTGTCGTTTTTTGTGGGGCTCTTCTATTTTTACTTTTGTATGCAAAATAGACGTAATAGAGAAAATATCAGTATCGCTTTCTACATTTGGGTCTATGTCAATAAAGAACATGGGCAGCGAAATTTTGGTTTGGTGGTGTTTAACATTGGTGACATTTCTCACCTTGTACCCTATTTCTTCTAGAGCTGTTGTTATATCGGATCCTTATGACTACTCTTAGAGGTTTATCGGATTGGAGCTGGTATGTGTGGTACTGAGCGTTGATTTCTTTCAATAAGTGAATGATTTTTCTGTAATTGTCTGGGGTATCAGTTTGGACTTTTAGATGAGTTGCGGTCAATTTACACGAGAAGGTGTTTGGGCCGATGTTTGTTTAAATTGGTTCATCAAGCCCATGTAGTTGAGAACCCCTTTAATGAAGATGGGTGGAGGCAAAGTTGTTTTCGGTGTATTGTTAGTGGTATTCGGTTGCTCCTTGTTTTGATTATCAGATACGACGTTAAGGTTTTCGATAGTAGGCTCGTCTACAGCTGATAGGACGCTATACCTGTTTGGCGTGATAAACGATTTAACTTTCTTGATGCTAGCTGTATAGGATGGTGGTTGCGGTGGAGTGGACGATGTCGATAAGTTACGTTTATTTTTATTTTTGTCTTCATTATTTTTTCTGATTATTTGGTTATTGATAATTTTAATTGAGGACACGGTTCTAGAGGCCATATCGCCAATGTTATCGGAGTTCAAAGGTCACCGCGCGCAACGGTGCCTGTGGACCTGTGTTTGGACTAACGTTTCGCGGTAGTGGGATGTAATTTATTTAGTTTAATTTATAAATAAATAAAAATAATAGACGATGTTACTTGATTTGGAGAAGTATTTAACCCGTAAGTTGGTCAGCTAACAAGTTTGTGGCAAGATTGTCAAGTATTTCGTTGATTAAGATGAAAAACGGAATTTTCTGTTCGGTAGAAGTTTCAGAGCTGAACATAATCCGGGAGCGACGTAAAAATGCGTGCTCACTATCGGACTGCCTGCGCGAGAGTATCATAAATTTAAAAAAATAATAATAATGATAATAGAAATACAGAAACTAGTGAATAAAATAAAATAAATTTATATTTTTTTCATTTGCCACGATACTTGTCCCTCTTTCATAAAAAAATCAATAAGTTCTGTTCGAACGCATTTGGTTGCATTTCCTGGTTGAGAATTGTCCACTGTCGTATCTTCAATCAACCCACTAATAGCGATAGTATCCTCAAATGTAATACCATCTCTGTCCCTCACAAAATTGTGTAAAAGGCAGCACGTTTTAATTATATTTTCTGCCAAACTTTCTTCAACATTAAGTGCACGATGCAAGATTCTTCACTTATTACTAAGTATTCCAAAACTGCATTCGATGTATCTTCTGGCTCTTGTAAGGCAGTAATTAAATATTTTTTTACCCACAAACAAATATTTTCCACCAAATGATCTCAGAAGAAATTGACAAAGCCCAAATCCTTCATCTCTAATTAAAAAATAAGGAATTTTGTCTAAAAGAGGTTTGGGTGGTGGTAATTTAATTTTGTTAGTTTTTAACAATTTATACAGCGATGAGTTTTTAAAAGTTATTGAATCACTTGATTTTCCTGGTGCTCCTACGTCAATGTATAAAAATTTGTAATTTGAATCACACGCTGTCAGTAAGAGAATGGAAAAAAAAATGTTTATAATTGAAGTTCATTGATGCACTGCCCTCTGGCTTGATTACTCGAATATGTTTCCTATCGATGGCTTCAATAACGTGTGGAAAATTAGCTCGTTCTTCAAATTCTGTAGCAACTTTTGTTAGTAGTTCTTCCGTGATTGTAGGGAAACAACTTTTTTTAAATGTGGCCCAGAGAGATTCGCACACTTCTCGAACAATGTTAGATATTGTTGATAATCCAATGCGATAATCGATGTGAAGATCGCTCATCGTGTATCCAGACCCGAGATATCTAAAAACAAATAATATTTAAACTAATGATTTTTTCATGTCACAGGTAATTCATATCAACGAAAATGGAAAAGTCTACGCGGTTCATATACACGAGAATTGGCAAAGCAAAAGAATCATATGAAACAGGTTCTGCAACAAAATTTCGAAAAAAATACATATTTTTTGATAAACTCAGATTTTTAGATACTACCACAAAACCTATAGATGATAGTATTGAGTTGAGCGATCATGAAAGAAATTTAGAAGAAATTGAAGCAGTAGCTGAAGAAAATATTAATAAAATGCCTTATAAAGGAAAGCCTAAGAAACGGCATTCTGACGAAGACCTCTTGGAAGTTCTAAAAAAAAAATATTAACAAGAGACAAAAAAAAGTTTGGATTATGAAAACGAAGACCGATTATTTTTACTATCCCTACGTAAACACTTACAATCTATACCGAATCATATGAAACTAAATGTAAAGACACAAATGATGAATTTAATATCGTCTGCCAAACAAACAGCTTGTGCTACTTCTTCAGGTCAGCTCCATCCTTTAACCACTATAAATCAGTACTCACATCCGAATCCGATACGAACACAGTTTAATATAAACTCTTATTCAAGCCAACCTGTACAACCTGCCATACGGACCAACGTAAATCGGCACCTAAATACGCAATCTGAATTTGGAATCGAAATACCTGTATACAAGAACCAAACGCGAGCGCAGCATCAAGACCAGTTATGGCCTACAACTTATAGCCCCGAAGATGCATCCTCTGTTCAAAGCGATTTATCTAATGATGTATTTAGCAATTAAAAGTAACTCTCAAAAAGTATGTTAACAATTGTTTTTTAGTTTATAAGAATTAAAAAAGGTATTTAATTTAATTTAATTTTTTTATTACAGTTTTTTATTTAATATAATATCTTGTTTAGATATATTAATATTTATTTTGAAAAGATATTTCATTTATTTTCAAAAAAATGTTAAGTATATTTCTTATAATAAAGCATAACACTTTAAATATTGTAAATTTATTATTCTTACCTCAGAGTTAAAGCTAGTTTTTCATTCGGAGGAATGGACTTCCTCATGATAGTATCTTGTTTCGTTATATTATTTTTGATACCAGATAAAAGTTCTTTGAATGTATTCTTCGACATACGAAAATATGAGAAGAATTTTATATCATCTCCTTCCAAGTCATCAAACAGTGTTTAAAATAATCCTTTGTTTGGTCTTTCTAGAAGCAATGGCTTCACCCAGAATCTTCTCGGTGTATTTTTACGTTTCTTTTTTTTAATTAATAGCATCGCCAACAATAGTTTAGTTTCCACGTTCATTTTGAGAATGATGTAGTGCTCTCGTGTTCACAAATATTGTCTACCGATACACTTTCGCAGCACCACTAACGCGCTTTTAAAAACATTAGCAGCGCCACTGACGCGCTTTTAAAAACAATAGCAGCGCCACTGACGTGCTTCTAAAAATATTCGCAGCGCCACTGACGCGCTTCTAAAAATATTCGCAGCGCTACTGACGCGCTGCTAAGAAGCGCTGCTGAGTGGCTACGTGTGAAGACGCCCGTAGGGGGCCCGTAAGGCGCCCGTAACCACTTCATTGATTAAAAACACATGTATATTTAATCGAAGCCTATATACTAATATATTTGTGCATTCACTGGATGCCCCAATACCATACTGTTGCCACTTAACATCTTGACGTACTCATTTTATAGACCAAATAATATAATTATAAACCTATATTATTTTTTCAAGTTGATAATTTTTTCATACATTTCTAAAAAGGTCAAAATAAAAATATATTTTTAAAGTGTACCGGCATCCAGATGCCTCCCAAATATCTGTTGCCCGGGGCAATTGCCCTTAAAACCCTCCGTTAAATCCGGCCCTGATCTTCACTCTTTACATGCAATGTATGCTCCAATTTTAACTTTTTTATTTTATTTTCAGAATATATATTTTTAGCAGTAGAAAGTCCATTATAAATATGCTTGACAAATGATTCAGGTCTTCCATGTAAAAATTAAGGTATAGCATCAGAAATTTTTTTATACTCTCCTGTAAGTTTTAAATTTTTTAAATGATATTTCCTTAATGATTCTGGTAAAAATTGATCAATTATGGTTTCTATAGTACTATTCAGAGACTTTTTTTTTTAATTAATTTTTATAAATTCAATAAATAACTTAAATAACTATCTAAACATTCATACTTATTTTAATAAATTACTTTCATATTTCACCAACTTTGCCACAACATAGACAAAACCTAATTCTGATAAACGTATAATAAATAAATTTAAATCATTAGTTTCTCCTTGAAAAGAAATATTATTCACTATATTTAAATTGTTTAGGATATGTTCCAGACTGTTGAAATATCTAGTATCTTACATTTTAATAAAAATAATGATTTAAAAACCCACACCAAAGATAATTAAAAAAAATTATTTAATCAATAAACTAAGAGTTTCATTAAACATGTATGTATGTCATATTGGTACAAGTAATAATAAAGTGGAATAACCCGTTAATATCAAGTTATCTTCATTATAATATAGTTATATATATTATTCTTGGTTTTTTTGGTACACAGCCACACTGACTATAAATAATAATTATTAAATCAACTCGGATAATCAAAAATAGTTTTAAAAGCGTTAGAAATTTTTAAAAAGTGTTTTAATTAAAAAGTTAACTACTACATAATAAGTTTACTTTAAGGAGCCTCACTAACACTTCTTTTTTTAACAAAAACTACTGTTTCTAATTCCAACGCTACGTGTCGACAATTATCACGATTTTCATTCTGGAAAAATATTCGGATGCTCCGTAATATGTACAAAGGAACGATCGAGCTACATTTTTAATTTTTGTAATTTGAATTGCAATAATTGCAATAACTAAATACAATTTTTAAAATGTGCCTCGATCAATCCTTCGTACATATTACGGAGCATCCAAATATTTTTTCAGAATGAAAATCGTAATAATTGTTGACACGTAGCGTTGGAATTAGAAACGTATGTTGGAATGAAAAATAAACATTTTTTCGCGATCACAATATTAAGTGATGACAGAGTGCGAGTGCGTGCGAGAGTCCCCCGTACCGCTACCACGTAGCGTCTCGCTAATGAACCTAAACAGTGCAATATAGTTACATTAATTAAATATACATAGATAGCCCATAGCTATACGCAATATGGAAACACGTAAATTAGTACGGATTATGTGACATTAGGGTCGCGTCACACTTTCGCGGTTGCACCGCGCGGTTTCGTTCATAAATATCATCACATGTGTATTTATGGAACGTGCACACTTGGGCGTTTCCACCGCGTTCTACCGCTAGCCGCCGCACAACGTCGTTGCGTGTCGCAGTTTGACGGCAGCGCCGCTAGAACTATTTTCGACCACTCAAAATAAAAACCCATGGTTTTCAATCACATGCACCACACTACAGCGGTAGCAACGCGCGTTTTCTGTATAAAATATTAACAATTTATTATAGTCTTTCTTCTGTAGAAACGGGATTGCGAAATGGTGTAATTTGTTTTGTTATATGTGGACGCACATTCTCCAAAAGTTCATCAAATGATTGAAAGGACATTCTGTAATATTTAAAGAACTTCCGTGGATACTGTCTTATGTCCAAATAAAATTTTTTAAAACGCTCATTATCTTCGCGGCTTTTATTAAATGGATGTACCCAAAATTCTCTTTCTTTTCTTGGAGAATTTATATACCCAAAAGATTTTGCGATTGATATCACTTGCAAAGAACGCATATAGTAATTGTAATCCATCCTACACAACATTTGTATACATTTAAATAACAATATTCAAATATATAATATTAAATAAATTAATATACTTGAAATTTATTTACTAAATGTATTAGTTAACTTATAAATGAGGTAGGTAAATATAATAAGGATTATTTTTTTACAAATTAAAGTTAATTACTATCAATTATAATGGAAATCAGTGGCGTAGCCAAGGGGGGCTAAAGTGGCTATAGCCACCCCATGGGCCGTGTTTATATGTATAATGTATCTTGACTAATAGAATCAATGGATGCTCGTTTTAATCAAAGGCTTATTGATGTTATGCCACTTGAAGGACTTACTCCGGCCAATTTAAATATGTATGACAATAAAAATATTATAAAAGTTGCTAAAATATATGTCCAAGATCTCCATGATGATACCTCATCAATAATCAGAGCTGACCTGTTCATATGGAGGCAACAATGGAGTCAAAATACTATTCCAAAACCGAATCCTGCTCTTGATTCACTCTCTCATCGCACCAATCTTCGACCTAAAATTAAAATACTTTTACAATTATTCGCCACGTTACCAGTTACCTCTTTCACTCCGGAAAGAACGTTTACAGCACTTAATCGCTTAAAAATTTTTTTAAGAAGCACCATGTCGGAAAACAGACTGAATGGGTTAGCTATGGCTAATATAAATAAAAAAGAGCAATTCGATGAAAGTGAAATAATAACTGAATTTGCCAGAAATTCGCCTAAGAGGATGCAGCTGTCAGAGTAGAGCAAGTGACTGAACACTGAAATCAAAATTATTATTATTATTATAAATTATATATTAATAAATATTATTAAAACTATACTAAAATGCTTGAATTACGTTTAGAAACTTGGTGGTAGATGGTGGGGGCGGGTTAAGGGTGAATTCTTATATCCTCTCTTACCTTACTTATCCAAAAAAGTAGTTAGCCCCCCCCCATTTAAAAAATCCTGGCTACGCCACTGTTGGAAATTGAACTTACTTTTGATCTTATTACTTCTGATGAAGGATGAACTTAAATAAAAATCAAACTTTTTTTTTTTTTTTTAACTTAATTCTTTATTTAGCAATCTGTTACAAATTAGAACAATACGCTTATTTGATATAATAATAAAACAAAACAGGAATGACGGAGTGAAGAGACCTCCCATTGGAGGTACTTCGTCAGGAAAGTAGTTAACCTATATTACACGTTTATATACAATTTATCACAGCAGGTCACGACACCACTGTCGTTTTAATCTTCTTTGAGGGTTGCCTGGAATAGTTGCGGATGAGAGTTGAGTAATAAGAGAGTTTGGATGTTGGGTGAGTCGGCTATTGAAACGCTTGTAATGGAGTTTGGCTAATTCGGTGACAGTTGGTATTTTTAAATCAGAGTGGAGGGATTTATTGGAGATGTAGTATGGAGCTTTTGAAACTGTTCGAAGAATTTTGGATTGAAATCTTTGAATATGATTGATATTAGATATTTTTGCTGCACCCCAGAGCTGGATTCCATATGTCCAGATAGGTCTTAGGAGTAATTTATAAATTAATAGTTTGTTAGTTAGTTTTACTTTTTTGGCAGTTAATAAGGGTCGTAGAAGACGAAGACGGTTGTTGAGTGCGACAACTTTGCTTCTGATATGAGGTGCCCAAGTAAGTCGGCGGTCGATGTGGATTCCAAGATATCGTACACACTGGGCATTAGGTAAAGTTTGGTTGTTTAGAAATAGTCTCGGGCAAGTGCCGTGCCGAAGAGTGAAAGTACAATGGGTGGATTTGCTCTCATTCATTTTTACTCCCCATTCTCTATACCATGTTTCGAGGAGGTGAAGATGATTTTGTACATAGAGAGAAGCTAAGTTAGGGTCAGGACTGATAGCTATTATAGCTTTGTCATCTGCAAAATCGCCGACTAAGGTTTGGTTTGAGTTAGGTTGGTCAGAGATTAACAGATTAAAAAGTAGTGGGGCAGTAACTGCACCTTGCAGTACGCCAGCATTAATTCTTGCTGGAGGGGAGATTGTAGAGCTTATACGCACTGAGAAAAAGCGGTCTTCGAGGTAAGACTTTAGGATTAAGTAGTAGTGACTAGATAGTAGATGTTTTAGTTTATAGAGTAAACCCGCGTGCCATACCCTGTCAAAAGCTTGGGAGACGTCGAGGAAAGTTCCAGTACAGTAGAGTTTTTCCTCTAATGCGTACGAGATTTTATCAACTACCCTGTGTACTTGATGTACAGTGGAATGGCTGTTGCGAAATCCAAATTGAGTGTTTGGTAGTATATTTGCATCAGTGACTATGGGTAGGATACATTTTAATAAAAGTTTTTCAAATATTTTTGACAGGATCGGGAGAAGACTTATTGGTCTGTACGAGGAGGGACAGTTTGGCGCTTTATTAGGTTTAAGGATTAAAATTATAGTGGAGTATTTCCATAGGATTGGAAAAAAATCAAACTTACTTGTGATATTATAATATATTATAATCACTACGCACAACCCACGTGGACAACGATAAGTGTACAACTGAGAACGTTAAACCGTGTTTAGTGTGACACGAATTTACCGCGCGGTAGTTTCAACTAGAGTGACTTGATAATAAGAGTGTTGTCATAGAGCGTGTTGTTCCTGATTGGTTATTAATATTATCCGCCATTAGTAGGCTAATATTTTTTTGATAACAACTGATATTATATGAGTACTGGTTATATTGTATATAATTTTAAACTGTAAATTGTGTTTTAAGTTTCAAATAGGTATTCAATTAATTTTTTTAAGTGACTACACGCTTACACCTATGTAAGTATACTTATAATTATATTTATTCATTGTTATACCGAGTTGTCTGATGAGATATTTACTATAACTATATAGTACGTTTGAAAGTACCAATAATATTTATCACTTGTTTATTTATTATTATAATTTATAGTATTGCAAAAATGCCTGGATGTGCTGCTATTGGATGTTCGAACTCATATAAAAAAGGATTTCTTATGAAATATTTTTCAAGAGAACTGGCTCGAAGGAAATTGTGGCTATCAAAAATGAAGAGAGATCATTATATCTTATACGAGTATAACTATTCTAGAATAAATAATATAGGTACTTATATATTATTATAAAATTTATAATAATATATAGGTAGATATATAGTAGATTATGAGGAAGTATTTATTCTTATTATTAAATGTTAAACCATTAAAGTATTAAAAAACAATCTATAAAATACAATATCCTATAATATCAAGTTTGAGCCATTCATTTATTAGTCTACTAATGGCGGACAATTTTCTCATCAGTTAATATGGCCACACTCTCTCTATCAAGGCACTCTA